GTACTCAGATCCAAGTATCGGTATTGTATCGGTTTGAAAAAATTGGTATCGTTGCATCCCTAGTAAAAAGCATTGTTCCCAGTACAGAAGCCTGTGTTACTCTGTCAATACCTCCTCTGTGTAAAGAAGACTCCCAGTATACATGCACAAATTGGAACTGAACGTTCGGGTATCACTGCTCTCTCTGAACACTTTGATAGCTGAATCAATGAAAATTCAGAATTTGGCATCTCACTCAAAGACACTTCAGATTCAGACTGGAGGAGCCAGGAATCAAACTACAAACCTATAGATTAGTCGACAACCCACTCCACGTCCTAAACTACACCGTGTGAAATACAATCATATAGAGGTTTCTATTCCAGCTTTTTATTTGGCATTTTTCCATGAAATACACGAACTCCAACTGACACCATGAAAACACTCACATGGACATTAAATTTAAGTATGTAGTTTTGATTATAATTATTGTACGTGTTGTTCATGTTTATATATTTGCAAATTAAATTTCACGGGTTAAAAACAATGACTATATTCCACATGTGGAAAGAAAAACATCTGAAAATAATGTCTGAGAATTACCGCACAAAGCCAGATCAGGTTGTCACTGTAAACATTGCCCTAAAATGTATGCCAATCAACATTATATTGATATTATAGTCCGCCCAAATTAAATACCCAAATGTAACCATGCTGACAAAATAAACCACAAAATGCAACAAATCACACAATCTTCCGTCCGTCTCACACGCTCTGAAATTAATTTCCATCTTTAAAAAGTCTGAAATAAATACAAATTGTTTCTATTGCAAGTTTTTCCACTGAAAAATACATTCTTGAGTACAATCTCTGAGAACCTGCTGGTGACCTCGCAAATGAGCACAGAGGCAGGAATGTAAATCAAGCACACCCGTAACTACACATCGCATAAATTACACCATAATTTCCACACAGCTCACAACACATGTACAGTGAGAGTAAAACTAACAAAATACTAAACTAGTACAAGCTACATCCTAGAAATGTGGTTTACAGTACTGTGAGATTACAGGAGTAATACCGTAAACACTTTAAATATGAGTTTAAGTCGCTCACGCTCACATTTCGATAGACGTGAACAAGCAACCATTTACGGCCAAAAATCAAATCACAGCAGAGCAGCTAAATAATTCAACAGAAGCCTGAGCGTTGGTCTACAAAGTTTTTCCTCCTCCGGTCCTCCGTAGAAACCTGCAGCAGGTCTCACAGAAGGCTGTCCAGGCTCTTCTCATGGCTGGTCTTGTGCTCGTCATCGGAGGGCGGGCTGTATTTCTCGTGGTACTGCTGCAGCATGGTGACCACGTCGTGGTGGCCGAAATGCACCGCCTCATCCATCGGTGTGTTCCCCCATCTGTGCAAAAACAAATTAAAAGGTTAAAGAATACACTTTATGTTTGATAAAAAAATAGAGATGTAACCCTGCAGGTGGGTATGGAGGACCGAAAACACCCAGAATTAAAAGAAACTATTAAAGGAAATTAATAACCAAGATTAATATTCATCCATCCATCCATTTTCTTCTGCTTATCCATTTCAGGGACACAGGGGGGCTGGAGCCTCTCCCAGCTGTCACAGGACAAAAGATTAGGACTAAAATTAATAGTAGATCAATTAATAATAAATAACAAATAAGTGTAGGCACTTATTAGATATTGTATGAGTTCACCTTCACAACAATTTCTCAATTTATTTATTTTAGAAGGAGTTTGCCTAGCCTAGCAAAAAAGACACACACACACACACACACAAAAAAAAGAATATGTTGCAAAATAGGGGAAAAATGTACAAATACTATTTGGCTTCAATTTAATAATTTATTTAATTCTAGCCTCTATCTTTTAAAACTTTCTGATTCAGATTTACAATTTATTATTTAATGAAGCAACACATTTCTTTGTGGCCAACCCAGTGGCACACTGCCTCATTTACATAACGGGAGAGAAATTATTACACAAATAAATACACACATAAACTGATGGTAAACTGGTGAATAAATAATTTAGCATACAAAAATAGATTATTATTATTATTTAAAATGTTTAATTTATTTATATTATTTATGATTTTGGCACATTTGGTTCTCCATAGATATCAGAATCTGAGCTTGGAGGATGAATTTTCTTTATTTTTTAACCACACTGAGACTTTTCTCAAAGGCTGGAAATTCTGCTTCAAAGCTCATTATTATAATCAGTATAAATACAGGTAGTAAAGACTCACCTGTCTCTGGGTACTGGATTCACCTTGCAAGCCTCCAGCAGAAAGCGAACCACCTCTATGTGTCCTAATGGAAGCAGGGCAGATGTTACAAGTTACTTTTACCTTGTTATACTGTGAAAAGGGTGCATGCTTGATTTTAATTGGCTCTCCTGATGTATAACTCCTCTTAAAGACTGTATTTTTCTTATGTCTACTTCTTACCTTGAAACTTTGCTGTTTCCATATATGTAATTTATATACATCATGGAAACAGCTCCAGACCACAGGATCAGACTTTAAAGAGTATTTGAGGGCGAGCTGTGTCTATTTACTGACTGACCTCAGGCTGAACGTTACCTTCAGCTGCTGCAACGTGCAGGGCCGTCCTCGAGTCGTAGTCCCTCTGCTCCATGTCCATGGATGACAGCGCGAACCTGCACACACAAAGGACCAGTAAACAACTCTGTAAGCACCTCTAACTGCTGCACAGTTCATAAGAGTCTCAGGCTGGAGGTTAAAGAACATCCTGCCTGAAACATCTTTTCCTAGGAAATTACCTTCAGAACGCAGCAATAATACATTTTATATGGAGGGCTGATCTGAGATACACGATTTCCTTCTGTTTTATGACTTCCTGTCCAGTTTTGGAGCAGGTTTTTGTTTTCTGTTTCAAATAACCAAGCAGGGCTAGAGCCACAAACTGCAGTTCCTCTAGTGGCCACCAGAGGCTCCAATGTTAAAAGGTGCAACTTTACAGCAGAAATAAACATGTTTACAGCCTGATACAAAACACCCTCATATCAAGTTTACAGGAGGGGAAATATTTTAATGGCTTATAATGTTTTTAAGGGTTAAAATGAGGGGCGTGGTCACTCTGACGTTCATCATTTTTAGATCCTTTGAGTCTCCAAAGCAAACAAACGCTGAAGCATCACAGAGGTTTACAGAAGGTTTTACAGCTACATTAAAATGATAAGTGAGGCTTAATCTCCATGGTGAAATCTTAGTCGCCCTCACAGTGCTTTTTTCCCCATTTACACACCTCTAACCAGCATAAAATTACTCAACAGGTAAAAGTGAATTCATTGTTGAAATCAGGTTAAATTTACTTCTTTGTAACAGCCTGAAAACACGACTTTCCAAACAAAAGTCTAACAACCAGACTGAGCCCATAAAACAACATCCATGTTTGTTTGCAGACTCTTGTAGATTCAAAAAATGATGAAAAATATTTTAAGTCCTTAACTCAAAATTGATCGTTAACAGGTGAAGAAGGCTGCAAACATGGATGCAGAGTCACACTTTAAACTATTTTTGAAAATAGTGCAAACGTTTCATTAGACTTTCATGAGGTCAGATGTAAAAACTCCACAGGGACACCTGTAAGTTCATTTTTCTGCCACTTGAGGTCACCAAGGTGCTTCCTCGTGCAGTCAGAGGAGTCTTTCTTTCATGTAGATGTTATTAAAAAGCTCCACTGGGGGGCGAGACGTGACTAAATCTGAACTGATCTCTTATTAAAAGCTGTATGTGAGCTGCTCACCTCCTCAGGGCTGACACGTCCCCAGTGTAGGCGGAAAACAGCAGGTTGATGACAGACTTGACCTGTGGACGGAAACGGGACGTTTTCAGGGTCACACCATTAAACCAAAACACACAGGCAGCTGCATAAGAGCTGAAACACTCACGAAGGAATTACTCCACACACATCTAATCTAACGCCACACATTTCATGCAGCACTGAAAGGAAGTCAATCACACATTTATTTTTTATGATTATTTTGGAAGAAATTAGTCATTTAATCACCACAATGCTATAATTCAACAGCACTAAATATTTCAATCACAGATCCATGGTTTGGTCATAACTTACCACCAAACAGGAATGAATCATTTCCTATGAGCAAAACTTCAAAGTAAAACATGTGAAGAAAATAAGAATACAAACATGGAGAGGGCTCTACAGAAAAAAATCAAATAAAATCATTAACATTTTTAGTATTTCACATTGTCAGAGCTACAGTCTGTGAACTAATGTTGTTAATCCTTTATCAGAAGGGTTGCTGGGAGAGTTTCTCCTGAACAGGATTATTTATGTAAACATCTGACATGAGGAGAGAGCTGAAGAAATGTAGTTTTGGTCCAAATAAAAACTTTACACTACCGAAAAAAAGAGACAGAGACTCAGAAAACCTGCAGATATTCATCAAAACAGCCTAAAATGGACATTTTTAAGAGTTTGATCTTCTCTGTATTTTGTTATTCCGATGTTTTCGCTCCACAGTATCATGTTTTGTTTTCAGATAATCTTCCATTTTAAGATGTACTCATTTGTACCAGAGTCGTTGCAGTGTTCATACTTTTCTTTTAGACTTTTAGTTTTTCTTTCACTTTAGCTTCAGTTTATTCCAGAATGGATTTTCTTGTTTTTAATTAGTGTTTTTCTGTTTTACTGCAGGCAGCGCTTCACTCATTCATTCACTCGTGAGGCCTGGTTTAAAAAAATGTTTATGCTAATGGTTACAACCATCTTTTCAATACAATTTGTGTTTGAGATTCAAAAAATAATCAGTCTCGCACAAAGCGTGTAAGTGTCCAGTGTCATGATGTTTCTCTACAGGGTAAACTAGTTTCACATCTAGTTTTAGTTCTTTAGGTTTAGTTAAGTAAATTAACCTTGGTTTGTACAAATTGGCCTTTGAGTGAAATCTTCTGATTGTGTTGTCCTAACCTTGTTTGGTAGTCCAATGAAAATATGCAAACTGTGTCAGGAGGCTAAAATAAACATGAGCACATACAGTTTTATGATTTGTGGCAAAAATGTGCACAAGTAAATATTTTATTGGTACTTTTGAACTCGGCATTATTGAATTAGGTAATATTAACTAACATTAGGCTTGGAATGTGACAGGATTTACCTCTCAGAGTAGCTTTGTATGATTCACAGTCCATAATAATCCTTCTTTATTTTATCGTGGGCCTTTTTTTTTTTTAACCCAAAGTTCTTTCGTGCAAAACAACTGAAATAAATGAAAGTAAAACTAAATCACCTGGATGAACACATTTTTATCTTATGTTTAAAAAAGCAAACAAAGCTTCAACATTAACTTAAAGTGGGGCAATTAACCAAGATGGCTACTAAGGTTCAAGTACGTAAAGGAAGAATATTCTTTAAAGGGCATGCACAAAGGAAACAGCTGGCAAGGGGCGCAGCGATTGAAGGAGATGGAAAGATACCAATAAGTTGGAGGGGGTTACTTAGGCAACCAGAACCTGGAAGTCTGCAAGTTACCAAAGTGATGACAGGTTGCGTGGTTGACAGGTCGCCACAAAACAAGCGCTTAAGATTTACCCTATACTCGTGACGCCTAGGTTAAAAAAGTGATTAAGCTGATGGTGATGCCCATCTTTTGTATACAGTCTGTGTTTGAGATGCAAAGAATAATCAGGTGACAGGGTCTCACATACACACCAGTGCCTTTAATCAAAAATCTAAGCCACATGTGTGAAAATCGTTAACTCTCTAATGTGTCTCTAAAAGGTAAACGAGGCACCTAAAAACCCAGACCAGGTGCACAAAAAACACCTGCCGACGAGCCGTAAATGTATTTCAAGATTCAAGGTTCTTTATTTGTCACATGCACAGTGAAATGTAACCTGACACACTCTTCGACATGTGCAAAGGGGGGGGGGGGGGGAGAGGAAGAACATTATATATATATAGTATATTTGTGTGTCTTCTTGTACGTTAGAATGCAGCAAAACTGGAGTACTGATGAATGCAGTAACAGATGGCTGCTTGTCACCTTCAGGAAGTTTAATGCAACATCAACACGTCCTCCAAACATTCACCTCTCCAAAGGTACAGTATGGCCTCATTCTGTGATCTGTTTGTTTTGCTGGTGGCAGCGAGCCAAAAGTCACACGCCCATGTGGTGTGACATGAAAACAATGAGGAATGATGGTCCTTCAAAAACACCTGAGAACTATTTTTCTCCTTGCTGTCATGTGACACGTCACTGCGCACTCACATGGACGACCTTCTCAAAGGTCAGCGTTTAGCTTCTCTGTGCTCTGAAGGAGCTGCTGTGACTTCTTTCCACATCAATCGATGGATGTGACTGTGTGTGTGCTGTAGTTAGTTAGTAGTTTAGCTCAGCTTACCATAAAAACTGGACTGGTGTGTGTGACGATTATAAAAAGGAAACTAAAGCTTATTTCACTCATTTATTTATTCACTTATTTATTATATTTGATAAATCAATTATATACTTAAAACCCCTAACCTGACAAATATTTGGAAATAACAAAAAAAAAAAAACCAACCCCTTTTTGTCTTTTTTGTATAATCTATTTAAAATAGCTACAAATTTCTAATCATGTCACCAAACTAAGATAAACTTGTTATTTTTGCACGAGAAATTGTTCTTTCGTGCAAAACAACATAAATGAAAGTAAAACTTCCACAGCATGTCTTTTATCCTGTCTTCCTTCTCTCACCCCAACCAATCACAGCAGATGGCCCCGCCCCTCCCTGAGCCTGGTTCT